AGAGCCACAGCTGTGTATGCAAGCGGGGCGGGGGTCCCCCACTGGCCCTCCTCTGTGGCCTTTTCCCCCTAACAGCACCCAGCTGCCCTGCATTTCCTGATGCCTCAGAGTTGCTGAGACAAAGAACAACGAGAGCAGGACTCCATTAAACAGCTGCTGGCCAGGCTGGCAGAACACAGCCATCACCCAGCCAGCCCCACGGGGTCTTGCCCAACTGGGCAACTCTCACGCGTGCATTTCACCTTTAATTCCCCCCAGAATTAATTCGGCTGTTGCGTGTGATGAAATGAGTGATGATTCTGCGCAAAACCAGCGAATGGCTCTCAACTTGGAGAAACGTAAACTCCTTTCCTCTTAGGCTTTGCGAAGATGATAATATACGATTTATTCTTACTTTCTCCCGATATAAATCACACTATTAAATTAAGAGGAGAGAGTTCTTCTACCAAATTACACACTAATGGCGCTTCACCCATAATTAAAGGATCAAGAACAGCAGCTTCGAGCCACGGCGAAGCAGGAGCACGTTTATGAGGGCCTAAGTTTTCAGCACTGAGTAATTACGTAAATGTCACCGGGAGCCACCCTGAGGAGGCAGTGGTGGGACCTGCTCCCTGATCCCCGGGTGGGGGACTTGTTCTCTGTGAACTGGCGTCTACACAGGCCTCCTCTTACGCAGTCAGAAACAGGAAAGCGGGCCCAGCCGGTGGTGCAGTTTTAACAAACTGAGCTGCAGTTAACTGCAGTGTGGAAGCCACCCGGCGGCCACCGGTCGGATCCACGGTTGTCTTGAGAGCACACTGAGCACCCGTGTGCAGGAGCCAAGACCCTGAGCCACTGGGGGACCAGAGGGCTGGGAAAGGGGTACCTGTGTGGTGAGACCTGCGGAGCGTGCCTCTCTCTGTATCGCTCTCAACCTCGTGTGTGCGTGCACACACACACATGCACACACTATCATGAATAAAATTAACTCAAGAAGAAAGAGGGCCAGCAGATGGCGTGGTGGTCAAGGTGCTGGATCCCACAAGGCTGTCTCTGCAGTTTGAATCCTGGACCGGGTGGCTTTGAAAACATGCAGGGCGCGGGCGCATGTTTTCCCGAAATCCTCAGAGGAGGATGGAGGAGAGGGGATTGCTGCGCGGTCATCCCCCTGGGTAGGGGGTGATTTCTCACTTTCCTCCTCTGTCTCCAGCAAGCACACATGCCCTCTTGGTCATAAAATAAATGGATAAATAAAATAACTTAAAAACAAACAATGTCGCAGATGCAGAGAGAGCACATGTCACCGAGGCTGGTCACCCAGAGTTACCCAGACTTCCCTGAACGCCGCATCCACGCCGGCACTTAAACTACGGAGCAAGAGGGGTGGCGGGCAGCCTGGACCGTGCCTGGAGTCCAGGATGTTATCCACAGGTGCGCGCAGGGTCCCCAGGACAGCCACGACCCCTCACACCAGGAGCCAATCATGAGTTCAGGAGACCAGGCGGCAGGTGACGCGGGAATCGCGGAATGGTCACCACCGCTCAGTGCGGTTCTCTGACAAACTGTCTGAACCAACTTTGGCAAAAATAAGGCCGGTGCATCGGACGGCGTCTAAGGCCCTGTACAGCTCGGCGGTCCCGAGACGTGAGCGCACACGGGACGGTCTCCATCGGCACCACATCACGCAGTAGGGACCGTGGATGCCTTTGCAGAGGTGGCACGGGGGAGCCCCTGAGCTGGCGGCCGCTCTGAGCCACTCCCTGCGAGCCCGGGCCAGTGCGGCACTGGGACGTGGGCATGCAGCGGTCACCCGGACAGAAGGCTTTGCCTTCATGAGGCTTTCATCCTTCTGGTGGGGTGTCCTGGGGGTTCAGAGGGGAGAACATGAGGGCTGGGGTTGACCCCTGACCCTTCCTGGAGCCGGGCAAAACTGGGCACGAGGGGGAGGGGATCTTTAGGCCCCTCGGAGGGGTGATGAACACCGAAGTGCGTAGGGTGGGGAGAAACCAGGTTTCCGAGCACACGCGCTCACGCCAGCCAGGGCTGCCGACTTGCTCACTGTGGGTAAAGGCGGCCAGCTTCCAGGAGCTGCCCAGGCTTGGGCTCCTTCTGCCCTCTGCCAGTCTCCTCTTTGTCCTGGGAGTCCCCCACCCAAAGCCTCCTCCTTGTAGTTCATTTTTTCCTTTATTGTCTTTTCAAACACACTTGAGGAGCCGACCATGAGGCCGGGGAGCAGTGACCTCGCGGGGAGTCCATGCCTAAGCCCCCGAGGGGAGTCCATGCCTAAGCCCCCCGAGGGTCCCTTCCAAAGGAATTTCAGCAGAGCTGCGTGCAGCAGGCCCAGGGGGGAGGAAGGCTGTGTAGGCACATGGGCTATTTTGCAGAGGAGAGAGGAGAGCGTCTAAGACAAGAGGGCTGGGCCCTAGCTCACCCAGATAATCACCACCACCGTCCCCACCTTAACCTCTACAACTAAAAAGCCAGAGAAGTGACCCGTCCCTTTTTATGAGGCAGGACATGGGCCAGCGTCCTAGAGAAAATCCAGGGTCGCCTATGACCTTCCCACATCACTTCCCTGGGACGCTGAGACGTCGAAGACGAATATTCCCAGGCTGGGTTTGAAAGCACAACAACTATTCCAACGTCTCCTACAGAAAACAAAAACCCCACATATTATTTATGCCTGTCTCCAAAACACCCCTTAGGTTTCAGAGAAGATGTGTCCAGTGTTTACACTGAGCAAACCTCTGGGACGTAAACAACCCGCTCTAAACACCACTCAGGGTTTGCTGTGCTTTTCTTCATTTCCTGGGTATTTATTTTGGTGTTAAAATAATGTTAACTTTCCTAACGAGGAAAATAGAAGCAGATGTTTTTAAGCCAAACAGACTTTACCTTATTATACCATGTATCTATCAACGTTCAAAAATCAAAGTTTTGTGTGTTGTTGTTTTTTTCCCCCTCTCCCAGATAACAAGGAAGAGAACAAAACTAGCCTCCTGTCGGTTCCACACCTACCACAGGACGAGAAGTCCACCAGCCCCGCCACCACCAACGGGAGACGCACAAAATGAATCTGGTTTCAATTGCCTAACGAGCCTTGTATTTCTCTCTCGGGCTGATCAGTGTGTTTTGTTCTGTTTTTAAGCGATCGTATTACTTGTTGACAAAAACACAACTGACATCGCCTTCAAAGTTTTTATTTCTTAATCACTCAAGAAAAAAAGTAAACAGTAGAAAACGAACTGCGATATGTTAATTTCACATGAATTAAGCCTGGTCACTTGTTACTTGGAGCTTTTATATATAAGTCTTTGCCTTTTAGATGAGTTCAGAAACAAGATATTTCCACACAGCAGATCCAAAAGAGGCCATTTATCAAAATTCTCAACTGGAACCAGTAGGTATTTAAAAAGAAAGTAAAGGCCCTTTTTACAAACCTTAAATATCAGAATGTTATCTATAAAGTTAAATAAACACACACACACATAGTAAGACCTATTTTCATTTATG